TCCCTGAGTCCAGCAGAGTGCTCAGGCAGGTTTCAGGGTTCCGTGAGTCCTGTAGAAAGCCAGGCAGGTTTCAGGGTTCCGTGAGTCCAGCAGAGAGCTCAGGCAGGTTTCAGGGTTCCCTGAGTCCAGCAGAGTGCTCAGGCAGGTTTCAGGGTTCCGTGAGTCCAGTAGAAAGCCAGGCAGGTTTCAGGGTTCCGTGAGTCCAGCAGAGAGCTCAGGCAGGTTTCAGGGTTCCGTGAGTTCAGCAGAGCGCTCAGGCAGACACACTCAATCGGAAACAGCCACACTTAGCAGTTGAAAAGCAGAAACAAGATACCAGGAAAACTGCGAAACTTTAAACTAGCTCCCGCTGCTGAGCCAAAACAGGAGCAGAGAGCGCTCAGCGGATAAGAGCCAGGACACCAAGACAAGACTAACAATCTTCTCTAAACACTGGCCTCCTAGATTTAAAACTAGATCTAAGGCATCAAAGTCCAACTCAAAAGCACAAAATCAAACATAATGATCTGGCCCTGATAGTTGGACTGAGTCGTAAATATAAAGCAGAGAGACAGGTGGATAAGATTAGTGATAATTAGTGAGCAGGGAGGATTAGGCAGGTGAGTGAAGTAAGCAATTATGCCAGATATCAGGGCAGCGAACATTAGAGTAGTTTCAACTTTATTGTCATTACACAGGTACAGGTACAAGGCAACGAAATGCAGTTTAGGTCTAACCAGAAGTGCAATAGCAGCAAGTGCAGGATAATTAAATAATGGTTGCAAAAGTACAGGACATGGGTTTCTACTGAATAAATATAGAGATGAATAACATTTTAAACAGAATTGTACTAATAATTTTTTCCTATGAATATAATTTATAGATAACTAGTGTTATGAACTAAATTTACAGCTGGATATGTACTGAATATAATATACAGGTGGATATTACCATAAAATGAATAAATAAAGTTTGGACAGAAGCTATCTAAATTAACGTGCAGTGGAAGCTAATTGCATATTACAGTTAAAATACGTTATTGCAAATGTTGATGTAAACAATTGGTACTGTGAATAAACAGTCGGCAGTGCAAATATAAACAGTCAATGCTTTCTATTGCACAGCGATAGAAGTTCACCAGGATAGTTGAGGGGAGCTGATTCTTCCTCAGTGTTCTCAGGAAGAAGAGGCGCTGGTGAGCTTTCTTGACCAGGCAGGAGGTGTTGGTTGATCAGGACATGTCTGCTGAGATGTGGGTCCCCAGAAACTTGAAACTGGAGACACGTTCAACAGCTATTCCATTGATGTGGATGGTGTCGTGGGTGCCTGTTGAATCTTTCCTGAAGTCTATGATGAGCTCCTTCATTTTGGTGGTGTTGAGGAGCTGGTTATTTTCAGTGCACCATGTGGCCAAGTGCTCGATCTCCCCCCTATAAGCAGACTCATCGTTGTTGCTGATGAGACCGATCACCGTGGTGTCGTCCTCAAACTTGATGATGGAATTAGATGCGTACACAGGCTTGCAGTCGTGGATGAAGAAGGAGAGGGGAAACAGGCGTAGCACACAGCCCTGTGGTACACCAGTGTTTCGTTGGTCAGAAAGTCCAGAATCCAGTTGCACATGGAGGTGTTGATGCCCAGGTCTCGAAGTTTGACTAATGACTTCGCCAGAATGACAGTGTTGAATGCTGAGCTAAAGTCAACAAACAGCATGCGTGCATAAGTGTTCTTATTGTCCAGATGTGTGACCACAGAGTGCAGTGCCATTGAAACTGCATCCTCTGTGCTCCTTTTGCTGTCCAATGTGGATGGTACCAAGTCTTTCAGGTGTGCCAGGACCAGCCGCTCAAAGCACTTCATTATGATTGGTGTGAGTGCTACAGGGCGGTAGTCTTTCAGGCACCTTGGGCTGGAGTGTTTTGGCACTGGCACAATGGAAGTACATTTGAAGCATGTTGGTACAGCTGCTTGGGCAAGAGTCAGGTTGGAAATGTCTGTAAAAACCCCAGTGAGCTGCTCCGCACATGCCCTGAGTACACTTCCAGGGATGTTATCTGGTCCAGCTGCCTTGTGCGTGCTGATCCTGCTCAGTGCATTGCAGACATCTCTGGAGGAGAGTGTGATTGGCGGGTGGTCAGCTGAGGATTTCAGCTTGGTGGCAGTTTCACTGTTGTCTCTTTCAAAGTGAGCATAAAAGTCAATCAGCTCATTCAGGAACTTGACATCAAATGCTGCAGAGGTGGGATGAGTGGGTTTATAGTCGCTGATGGCCTTAATTCCCTGCCACATGCGTCAGGGGTCAGCGTTGGAAAAGTGTCCCTCTATCTTAAGCTTGTAGCAGTACTTGGCCTCTTTGATGCCCCTTTTCAGGTTTGCTCTGGCTGTGCTATAGGATTGTGCATCTCCTGATCTGAAGGCAGTTTTTCATGTTTTCAATAGGAGTTGCACCTTCCTGTTCATCCATGGCTTCTGATTTGGGTTTGTGGTGATCTGCTTCTGGGTTGTAACATTGTCAATAGTGGCATTAATATAATCCAGTACAGAGGAGGCGTAACAGTCAATGTCCGTGTGAGAGCCACTGGTGGCTTGAGAAGCAGACATACTCCAGTCTGTGTGTAGGAACCTTTCCTGAAGTGTTGAATCTGCTCCCGCAGGCCACAGCTTGATGGTCTTCACTGATGGCTTCACACGATTGATGAGGGGTGCATGTTTGGGGGTGAGGAACAAAGAAAGGTGATCTGACTATCCCAAGTGGGGGAGGGGTGTTGCAACGTAGGCTCCAGCCACATTTGTGTAAACGTGATCTAAAGTTTTGTTTCCTCTGGTGTGGCAGAGAACATGCTGGTGAAATTTTGGTAGCACCGACTTTAAATTTGAATGATTAAAATCACCTGCAACAATAAACGCAGCTTCAGGGTGAATGGTCTGTTGTTTACTGATTGCTGCGTGAAGTTCTTTCATAGCAGACAGCATCAGCGTCCGAGGGAATGTAGGATGCAGTAATAATGGTGGAAGTGAACTCCCATGGCAGATAGAACGGCCTACATTTAACTATCAGAAACTCCAGGTTAGCTAAGCAATGTCTCCCAACAATAACACTTTGTGCACCAAATTTTGTTAATGTAATGCACAGTCCCCTACCTCTGGTCTTACCAGAGCCATCTGATGTTCTCTCCGCCCGGAAAATATGTCCTCCGCTAGCTCAATATCATTGTCTGGTATTCCGCTGTTTAACCATGTTTCCGTAAAGATTAGGACATTACAGTTCAGAAGTCTTGCTGTATGTAATGTTGAGTCAGATCTTCTCCATTTTGTTCAGCAGTGACCCCACATTGACAAGGAAAATGCTGGGTTAAGAGAGCCGGTGTGGTGTTAGCTTTAGCTTAGCTCTTAGTCCTCTGCGATTCCCCCGTCTTTGTTTACGATCTTGGCGCCGTGTGGGAGCACTTTGGCCCGGCCGAGCAGAGTGCGAAGCCTCAGGTGTTCTGGCTATCTCAGGAAGGAGTCGTAGGTTGTCCACAAAACTGTCAGAAAGTCGTAAACCAATATCCAAAAGCTAACAACGGGAGTACGATGTAATGGCACAACTGTTCTGCACGAACAGACCTGAAATGAACAAGAGAAATTAATATATGCCACTAACTAGGGCTGGGCGATAATTCAATAACGATATATATCGATCGATAGCCGTGGGGCGCAATAAAAAAAAAGAGGGTCGATAAAATTTCTATAAAAAAGAAACGCAGT